TCCCAAATCGACAGATACCAAAGGATCGAAGATCACAAAGAACAATATAAGTGCAGAATCATAAAACAACACTGAACACGCGATTTTTCACCCCGTAGGATCCGGATGTTCAGTCACAAAGACATACTCACCCGCTGAGCATCCACAAAGGATTTAGCTCTAGATCCACTAAGTAATGATCAAGAAATATTACAAATGTTCGAAGAAACCTTTGGTTTCTTCGTGTTAATCTCGCCTCAACAATACAGAACCGTAACCACACAAGATCAACCCCTAGACTATACAATATACAGACATTCACAGAGAAACAGGATTGATGAATCACTAAGATCGATTACAGTTACAAAGGAGAAACCGTAGACTTTCACTCAGAGAGAAGAGGGAAAACTGAGAGACGAAGAGTTAATGGAATTCTCTCTAATGACCAACCCCAAAAGCCAAGTCAACCGAGTAATATGAACAGTTGCAATCCAAGGGCAGAGAGTCAGCCACGTGTAAGGCTGATAACATTAAACATTGAGGCCACAACCCGTTCCACTTAAAAGGCCCAACAGCACAAACAGTTCAACAGCACAAACTGCCCAACAGAATAGTATAATGAGGCAGCCCATTTAGTTAACAAGGATATATCCAGATTTTAGTTATTGCTTTAAACATTATTTGTAAAATTCGAATATTGTATCTTTATTGGAATTCATGAGCGAATCAACAAATTTGAGGATTTTGAAGAGATTGTGTTTTGTCTTCTAGTTTGTAAATCTTTTGTTTTGCCTGTTCATGCAGCAAAAGAAGAAGAAAATGATTGCCCGATTGAGCAAGTGCGGCTAACGGTTTCAGTCACGGACGATCCCTCCCTGCCTGTCCTGACGTTCAGGACATGGTTTCTCGGCTTGTTGTCATGCGTTTTGCTTGCATTCCTGAACCAGTTTTTCAGCTATCGACAGAACAGCCTGTTCATTTCTTCTGTGACAGCACAGATTATCACTCTCCCTATTGGAAGGTTGATGGCATCCACTCTTCCTACGAAAACATTTCATGTGCCATTTACGACATGGTCATTCTCGTTGAATCCAGGACCCTTTAATCTCAAAGAACATGTTCTGATCACAATATTTGCCGGATGTGGCGCCTCCAGTGTTTATGCTGTGAATATCATCACCATTGTTAAGGCATTCTATCACCGGAACCTTCATCCATTGGCAGCATGGTTTCTATCTCACACTACACAGGTACGTGTTGACAAAGTTTGTCGTCTTTAGGACAACTCAAACTTCTAAACGAGATGGTTCCATGTACAAATGACTAATAATCGTGTACATTTGATTTATTTCAGTTGCTGGGATATGGGTGGGCTGGTATATTTAGGGACACCCTGGTGGACTCCCCATATATGTGGTGGCCTGAAAATATGATTCAGGTGTCCCTATTCAGGTACTTACCATCCAATTTCTTTTACATTAAGTTTCCATTAACAAAAAACTAAACATTAAGTTTCCATTAACAAAAAACTAACTTCATTGCCTGTTGGGACATTTTGCAGAGCATTACATGAAAGGGAAAAAAGACCAAGGGGAGGACTTACCAGACTACAATTCTTCTTGGTAGTGTTCGTATGCAGCTTTGCTTATTACATAATTCCAGCCTATTTATTCCCATCAATATCTGCCATATCTGTTCTCTGTTTGATTTGGAAGAAATCCATCTTTGCGCAACAACTCGGGTCAGGTCTACATGGACTAGGAATTGGTTCGTTCGCCTTAGACTGGTCCGCTATTGTTAGTTTCATAAGCAATCCTATTTCTTCACCAGGGTTCGCAATTATTAATAGCCTTGTGGGTTTTTTCCTGGTTATGTATGTTTTAATCCCCCTTGCTTACTGGCTCAATGCATATGAGGCCAAGAAGTTTCCTATCTTCTCATCCCACACGTTTGATTATACGGGAAATACTTACAATATTTCGCGTGTTTTGGATGAGAAAACGTTCGACCTTGATGTAGCTGGATTTGAAAGTTACAGCAAACTCTATCTTAGTGTTTTCTTTGCCTTCACTTATGGCCTTGGCTTTGCCAGCCTAACAGCAACTATCTCACATGTTGGACTTTTCCATGGATCGTAAGTTAATTACTTCTCGTGAATCTGATTTAATATTACAGATTCTGGCGGAAAGTTTTTGATAATTATACTGATAAAAATGTGATATTCAGAACAATTTGGGAATTCTGGAGCAAAGCAAAGACGGTGAAAGGAAAAACAGGCGACGTGCACACGAGAATAATGAAGAAGAACTATGCAGCAGTTCCTAACTGGTGGTTTTATGTGATACTGGCTGTAGTGTTTGCTCTTGCACTGTTAGCATGCGAAGGTTTTAGCAAACAACTCCAGCTCCCATGGTGGGGACTAGTATTAGCCTGTGCAATGGCTTTCTTCTTCACATTGCCAATTGGAGTAATACAAGCCACGACAAATCAGGTAACAACTGATACCGTACCAGAACGTCTGGACATGTTTAATATGCAATACTAGATAGGATCCAATAGTTCATGAATTTAACTTATTATTCTCCATTCATGCTATGTCGAACCCAACTTACCTAGCATGCCATAAAAGTATGGTAAAGTTTAGCAGTTCGCTAATTCGTTTGTATATAAGTGCAGCAAATAGGGCTGAACATAATCACTGAGTTGGTTATAGGATATATTTACCCAGGGAAACCTCTTGCAAATGTAGCTTTCAAGACATATGGCTACATAAGCATGTCCCAAGCCATTGGTTTCCTAAGTGATTTCAAATTAGGACACTACATGAAGGTCCCTCCCAAATCCATGTTCATTGCTCAGGTACAGAATGCTACTCTAAGACAAGCTATTAATGCAAATTTCACTGTTTGCAAATTTAGTGGCTCATCTATTTTATTATTATTATTTGTAAATCAGCTTGTTGGAACAATAGTTTCTTCTTCTGTTTACTTCGGTACGGCCTGGTGGCTCCTAACGACAGTCGAGCACATCTGTGATCCGGCTTTACTTCCCGAAGGGAGTCCCTGGACTTGTCCTGGTGATGATGTGTTCTACAATGCCTCAATCATATGGGGAGTGATAGGGCCGATGCGCATGTTCAATAAAGGTGTTTACCCAGAGCTGAACTGGTTCTTCCTTGGTGGTATGTTGGCACCCATACCAGTGTATCTGCTTAGGCGCAAATACCCTGAAAAGAAATGGATAAGACTGATCAACATGCCCCTCATTCTTGGTGCCACAATGTCCATGCCACCAGCTCGGTCTGTGAACTATTTGATGTGGGGCGCAGCTGGAATTTTCTTCAACATATATATCTTCAGAAAACACAAGCAATGGTGGGCTAGACATGCATACATTTTGGCTGCTGCGCTTAATGCTGGAATTGCATTCATGGGAGTGCTACTTTACTTTGCACTGCAATCGAAAGGTTTTTCTGGTCCTGCTTGGTGGGGGTTGAGCGCTGATGACCACTGTCCTCTGGCTAAATGCCCCACAGCCCCTGGGATAGAGGTTGAAGGCTGCCCAGTTCTTTGACCAGTTGTTCCCAGTTTAATTTCAGTGTAAATTGCAATAAGCTGGTAATCTCCATGGTGGAGAAAATGTAGAGTTCATTTCATAGCACCAAATTGCAGAATTAAACATGAGAATAGTACATCCACTGCAGGTGAAGTTAAGAAAGAATTGTCATTAGCGCTCTAGTAAATTAAATATAATAGCCATTTCTTTACAAGAATTGCCTCTATTTCATGTTGCGACATAAATTATCTCAATGCCTGATGGTTAACGTAACTTTCAGAAATTTCTTCGCTAACATAACTTTAATGAGATACGTGTGTATACCCTCTATAAGTTACAAAAAGAGAGACACAAAATGTTACTTGCTTCCAATGATATTAATCGCCTTTTTAACTCTTACCAATGAAATGCAAAACAACTCTTATAGGAGATATAAAACTGCCAAGTACAAGAGGTATTATCGAAAAAAAATCTAATAACATCATCAAGACGAGCTTTTCAAATTGTAACAGAAGATGATGCCCCAATACATGAACTGACATCTCTCCTACCCATAAGTTCTAAAAATTTGTCCCTAAATTCCAAAAGGGGCCATTTATTAGTTAAATTGGATCCATCATAAGCCTCTTTCAGGATTACAGTACTCTTTGCGCCTTTATTAGTGATGTAAAAGATACCATGATGCTTAATTAAGCAAAGCAACAATCTAGCTGGTAAACGATACTCGGAATGAAAAGCATCTAGTTGGGCAGAAGTCAATCTCTTCTCCATAGTCAAACTCAGGAGCTCATGAAGCACGGCCACTGCTCTTTTCCGAGCTTTTGGATCAGCAGCTTCAACCCTCCTTGCATTCAAGTATGGAGAAGGGAAGTCCATTTTCTGCCACCTCCGAACTTCCTCCAGATAACTCATATTTGCCCTAAAACCTACAGGAAAATCTAAGGGAAATGCATAAGGGCCTGAAAAGTTACCATCTTTTGATATCTTAGCTCTCTTCGGATGCTCACCGGTGTTTAACAACCCTTCACGTGCCAGCCTCTCCTCTCGGGCAGTTACCGCCAGCGAGGAATCCCAATTCTCCAAATCCAGATACCATCTCCCACTGACATCTTTCAGAGAAAAAAAATGGGGGTACAACGGAATAAGTGATTTTTTGAAGTCACTTGGCAATCCCATCTCATTCCCTATCATCTCAATTGTATCTAAAGGCACCCTACAGTCAACTGACAGCATCAATAACTTCCTCAAATTCTTAACCAAAATGGGTTCCATTTGCACCCTTGCTTCAGCTTCCAAAGCTGCAGTCCTTTTTGCCTTCTCACTCAGCATAACCGCTGGTGGTGACTTGTCACTTTTACCCCCGGTAACGACGAAAATGGATGGGTATTTTTCAATGACAGCCATATAATTCCATTTCTGCACAAACCCAACTTCTTTTTCAAGGTCTCTTAGTAAAAGAGACTCCGTTTTCTGGGATTGGATGATGGACTTCAGCTGTAAAATAAGAGATGGTTTCTTCTGGAGCTCCATTACTCTGTCCAGCTCGTGTACTCTGTGATAAATTTTCTTCTTGGGTTTTCTTCCTCCAGTGGTTTTGTACATAATTTGGACCCACGTGTAACCCAACGAGGCTTTAAAGCCCCCTCTTCTATTGATGAGCACAGGTTGGCGAAACTTATGCAGTTGTGAAAAGATCAACATATTCTATGTATTTAAAATTCTCTTCGACAAATGGTTGAACACTTGGAGTGCAACCATTAGATAGAGCTTTCTTTGGCAATCATAATTCAATCGTTACAGTTCACACCATTCTTAAATGAATTAAGAATTGGAAAACTCACATAAAAGCGTAATGATTACCAGCAGAAATGTACTTTCAAATGCTGAATTCCGAACTCTTGACAATGCTGATTTCTCGAGAGAGAGATTACCGCCGTGTTTGAAAACCACAAGTATTAGTATTAGATGAATCACATAACAGTGTTGGGCTCGAATATAGAAAATAGGACTTTACTTGGTGTACATCTTCGCTCCATGTGAAGGTTATGGACACCCCTACGTGAGTTCCACCTCATGTGAGGGTTATGGACACCTCTATGTACAATAATTATGTATACTTAGCATTTTTCTAAAAAATATGGACTTGTTCGTGGAGACCCGACCCGCGTGGTGTTTATGGAATTTTGGAAATAACTACTTTTTATATAAATAAATTTTATTATTTATTGTCAAAATAATTCTTTTTTAATATTTGAAGACAATAGTAACTTTATGATTTTTTGAGCACAGCCAAACATGCTCTTAATGTACCGAGAGAGAGATTTGTAGAGTAAAGGATGTCGTATGTTGCAATGCATAAAGTATTTTTGAGGAAAAAAAGAACTTTTGATTTGGAATGGTAAAATTGAAATTTCATTAATAATTGATATTTATTTTATTTCACAGATTCGATTTCTTTTCGACCTCGTGCACTTCAAAGATATGTTCAAAAGAGCTTTATGTATTGGGATAACTACATCAACTACTTGATTTAAACAATTTAATCTAAATTACTACTTATTCTTTTAAATTCTCAATTTTCGGCTTTTTCAAAATCAATAGACTTTCCTCTTTTATTCTCAATGTCACTGCCAATCACCATCACATTTGTCCAGGGGCGGACCTACATGAGGCCCAGTGGGGGCCGATTCCCCCACTCAATTTTCAAATTTCCCAATTTTTCTTCAAATTTTTAGGTTTTTTTAGGTTTTCAGATTTTTTTCCAAGATTTTTTGGTTTCGCATCCACTGAACTTCCTTCCTGGTTCCGCCCCTGCCTTTGTCGGCACCCATCATCCATCACCGAACTATCGACGCCATATTATAAATAGTTTCCACCCCTACCACCACCCAAAAATTGCCACCGTAACATTGAACGGTATGAGTGGTAGGCATGATTACGATGTGTAATAATTAATGTTCTAAGTGGTGGGGTAATGACAGAGACAATTAGGGATGTCAATATGGTTCGGGTCGAGCCTAAATTTTTTGGCCTAACTTTTGCTCAGCGGTTCGGACCAAAAAGGGTTCGAACCATTTTTACTCGAATCAAACTCGAGTTTCGGCTCGACTCATTGACACCCCTAGAGACAATGTAACATAAAGTGTTGCAAGTGGTGATGATTGTTATGTCAGCGACCGTGACAACGGTTGAAATAGGTAGCAAAATGTGTGTATTACAAGTGATCTAGACAGTATTAGTGGCAACGCATGGTGATCGTGGAGGAATTCTGGTTGTGAGCACGGTAATGATGGTGGAAATCGGATAGTGAAATGTGTGTAACATAATTTTATAAAATGTAACAAACTATATTTTAAAAAAAAATGTAAAGATAAAAAAAAGAATAAATATGTATTTTGAGAATAACACATTTCTATAATATGTAACACAGTATGTTACAAATTTTAGGCCGTGTTTGATAGGCCGTGTTTTTCGGGAAAGTAGGAAAATATTTTTCACTTTCCACTTTTTTGGCTGTTTGATAGACGAAATTTTTCACGGAAAATATTTTCCTACTTTTCCTCACACGTGTGCATTTTCCCGATTTTTGATGAAAATGTTTTCCCGCCTTTCGACAAATGGTTGAACACTTGGAGCGCAACCATTAGATAGAGCTTTCTTTGGCAACCATAATTCAATCGTTACAGTTCACACCATTCTTAAATGAATTAAGAATTGGAAAACTCACATAAAAGCGTAATGATTACCAGTAGAAATGTACTTTCAAATGCTGAATTCCGAACTCCTGACAATGCTGATTTCTCGAGAGAGAGATTACCGCCGTGTTTGAAAACCACAAGTATTAGTATTAGATGAGTCAGATAACAGTGTTGGGCTCGAATATAGAAAATAGGACTTTACTTGGTGTGCATCTTTGCTCATGTGAAGATTATGGACATCCCTACGTGAGTTCCACCTCATGTGAGGGTTATGGACACCTCTATGTACAATAATTATGTATAGTTAGCATTTTTCTAAAAAATATGGACTTGCTCGTGGAGACCTGACCCGCGTGGTGTTCATGGAATTTTGGAAATAACTACTTTTTATATAAATAACTTTTATTATTTATTGTCAAAATAATTCTTTCGTAATATTTGAAGACAATAGAAACTTTATGATTTTTTGAGCATAGACAAACATGCTCTTAATGTACCGAGAGAGAGATTTGTAGAGTAAAGGATGTCATATGTTGCAATGTATAAAGTATTTTTGAGGAAAAAAAGAACTTTTGATTTGGAATAGTAAAATTGAAATTTCATTAATAATTGATATTTATTTTATTTTCGACCTCGTGCACTTCAAAGATATGTTAAAAAGAGCTTTATGTATTGGGATAACTACATCAACTACTTGATTTAAACAATTTAATCTAAATTACTACTTATTCTTTTAAATTCTCAATTTTCTGCTTTTTCAAAATCAATACACTTTCCTCTTTTATTCTTAATGTCACTGCCAATCACCATCACATTTGTCCAGGGGCGGACCTACATGAGGCCCAGTGGGGGCCGCTTCCCCCACTCAATTTTCAGATTTCCCAATTTTTCTTCAAATTTTTAGATTTTTTTAGGTTTTCAGATTTTTTTCCAAGATTTTTTGGTTTCGCATCAACTGAACTTTCTTCCTGATTCTGCCCCTGCCTTTGTCAACACCCATCATCCATCGCCGAACTGTCGACCCCATATTATAAATAGTTCCCACCCCTACCACCACCCAAAAATTGCCACCGTAACATTGAACGGTATGAGTGGTAGGCATGATTACGATGTGTAACAATTAATGTTATAAGTGGTGGGGTAATGACAGAGACAATTAGGGATGTCCATATGACTCGCTACTCGCTAGTTTGGGTCGAGCCTAAATTTTTTGGCCGAACTTTTGCTCAGCAGCTCGGACCAAAAAAAGTTCGAACCATTTTTACTCGAATCAAACTCGAGTTTCGGCTCGGCTCGTTGACACCCCTAGAGACAATGTAACATAAAGTGTTGCAAGTGGTGGTGGTGGTGGTTATGTCAGCAACCGTGACAACGGTTGAAATAGGTAGCAAAATGTGTGTATTACAAGTGATCTAGACAGTATTAGTGGCAGCGCATGGTGATCGTGATCCTGGAGGAATTCTGGTTGCGAACACGGTAATGATGGTGGAAATCGGATAGTGAAGTGTGTGTAACATAATTTTATAAAATGTAACAAACTATATTTCAAAAAAAAATTGTAAAGATTAAAAAAAAAAAAAAAATTTCAGGTGGAAAATTATACTAATCAAACACACTTGAAATCATTTTCCCTACAAAACATTTTCTAGGCAAATCTTTTCCCTGTAAAATATTTTCTTTCCACCCATTTTCCACACTTGCAATCAAACGCACCCTTATTGTAAAGAACAAAGATAAATAAATAAATAAAAATAAAAAGATTGAACAGTATTTCTTAAACTTTTTTAACGGTATTTGTGAATTGTTCTCCTTTAAGTGTGCATAAACATATTGTATATGACGACATGATTTGTCACAATGAACTTGATATGGATAATGGTGGATTCGGGAATCCAGGTGAGCACCGGCGGCCGCCACTGGATATGGATAATCCTGTGCTGGCTCCACCACTGGATCACTGGGCGCTTATCCGCAGCCACAATTGCAACTGCAACATGCACAGATGAACTGGAACCCTGAATTAGTGAACCGAAAAACTAAGATTTGAAGAGAAAATCCGGTCACATGCCATTCCTCAATGCAGGCTAAGATGATATTCGAAGCACTGATCTAACCAAGTGTAAATATAGCGCGGCCACTTAAACAAATTTTTTTGGGCGAGAAGTGTGGGGAATATGTTACCCTTGCCATTGAACTTGCGGTTCTTAAGTAGAGCTTTTAATGGCATTATAATTGCATCAGAAATTTGCATGAAATAACGTCGTCGCACTTGCTTCATCGTAATTGCATGAGTATCAAGATACTAAACACAGTTTAAGAAACTCTTATCAATTTGAATCAACAGTCTTACCAATTTGTACCTATACTCCATGGCCTAAGATAGAAACAGGGGAAACATAAAATTTCACATTCAGAAAAAGGCTCAAACCACACTTGACTTATCTTCTGCAATGGACTGTTCTTCCTTGTCTTTCTCATTCTTGGGTTTTGAAGAAGCTAAATTTTCTTTTGGAAGTAAATTGGTGGCTTTGTCACTTGATTTCTTCAAACTAAGTGAAGTGTAAACTGTCATTCCACCAAGAGCTATGACAGCACCACAAATGCTTACAAATCCTGGATCAGAACCAAAAAGCAGGTACCCTCCTAGTAGAATCACACAAGTTTTGAATTGTCCTAAAACGACATGCGACGTTGCAGAAGTAGCACTGCGCGAGTAAAATAAAAAGGTTCTTGGTTCATTGTATTCTATGACCGCATTTATATGTGAAATGTAGACGGGTGAGATGGACTCAAGAGTAGAATTTCTCACCCAAGTGCCAAAGCTCCGGACCACTGTAAGAGAAAGCCGAGTAAAGCTGACACTAGAATGGCACTGGCGTTATTGACGTCCCATTTGAAAGACATTACCCCGGGAGGGTCCAACCATGGCATAAGAACTACTAAGAAGAAGACTGTAACTGGCGTTGTCTTCCACATCAACCTATGTAAAGGAAAAACAAGATTTCAAGTCAACTTGTTTTTGTTCTTAGTATCGTCGTGTGTAACAAACATGCACACTAAAATGAAAGAAGTTGTATATACTTACGAAAGAGCAGTCCAATTACCCTGCTGCTGCAGACGAGACCAAAGGATTTTGTTTATGGCGCTTGGGAATATCCAGGCGACGGCAACACAGGCACCGAAAAAATTGAATTCCAAGTCTGTTACAGTTGCAACTGCTACACCTAGTGAGACGACAGCTAGAGCGAGAACCTGCATCGTTACATTGTATTGCAATAGATATGAATATTAAGTTCAAATTATATAGCTAGCAAAAGGAAATTTCATTATCACCTTACTAAATGATATGGTCTTTCTGAAAAGAATAAATTCTGCAACGACAATGGTCGGAGTTACTGCAATTTTAGCCATCTGGTAAAAACCGACACTGTACAAGAACTGAACAATGAGGAAATGGGAGATTGTACAATTAGTTAATTATCATAGAAACGTGGACGAGGACCTGTTATGCTTTAGGCTGGTATTTGCAAGTCCTGAAGCAAAAGCCATGACAGCGCCCAAAGCAAACAAAGACGAGAATGGCGTAGTTTTAGAAGGAGGTGAGACGGGAAGCAATGAGAACGCCTTGAAAAACGCGAGTAATATCCAAGCAGAAGCATAGTGAATTAGTGTAAGGAATATGGGGTAGTTAAATCCAACTTTCCCCATGACCTGTAATATTATTTGAAGTCTATCAGAGCAAATGAGAGAAAGATCATCAAATTAAAGATCACAAAATTCACATTTCTTGAAGTGCTCGTACACTAAGCTAAAGCTTGCAAATAGAAATACACTAGTACTAGAAAAAAAGAGCCTAATAGAAAAAGAAAAGGCGAAAAAACGAGGAAGAAAATACAGACTAATTTGTTCCCCAGAATGATTCCAACAGCAACCATGAAATTGAAGGACATTGCCACAAATGGACCGCAATATCTTTGCTGTTGGCGCTTGGCCCCTTCGGAAGTCCTAAGCTCATTGTAAAGAGAACCTCTGAGTTCCTCCAACACACGACCTGAAAATATATTTATATCCTATGATTGATCTGAACCAGTCAGCCCTCAAATTCAACCGTCTATGAATAAAGAATATTAACCTCATCAATTTACTAAATTTAGACAGCATACTATGAAAGCATCATGGATTTCCTAAGAAACGTCATCTGATCAACAACTTTCCAAAATGTACTAAAATATAATTATCACAGATTAAAAGAAAAGCTCAAACAACAGTGAACAGCCAAAGACAAATAGATAGATATCAAAACATGATATGATTCCTTGGACTTAAGGAATATACTACGTAATTTGAATAATTGCTTGATGTTCTTCGCCGAAATTCGGATTTGCTAAATTTAATCCCATGGCCTTTCAAAGTATCGAAATGTCAGATAAGTAAATTTCATTCAACAAGGTCCTTTTTTGTGTACATACTCGCACCTTACAAAAATCAAAATTGAACTTTTAGAACTCAAGAAGATAACAATAGGAATAATACATTGGTAAATCTTGTTCTCGATAAATTTGGGGTCGACTAGAAGAATTCTTCCCACAACTCATTTCAATTCATAGCCAGATAAATAATCACATTCCTCCATTGGTTTGTGGGTAGACAATTAGTCACATTGGTGAATAATAAATAAATAAATTGCATGCAAGAAAGAAATTTTATACATCAAGAAAGGTAACAAACCTGCTTCTCCTGCATCACTATCTTTTCTTTTGATAAACCTTCTTGAATCTAGTCTCAGCAGAGAAAATAACAAGCCCATAAATGCAAAAACTACTTCAAATTCCAAATGCCGACGAGAAATTCTGGAGAATTACAGCAACTAAAAATTATATTTAAAAAAAAAAAAAACAGTTGTAAAACTTCCATGCAGCTATATTAGTGGCAGATGAAGGGGCAGTTGAAAAAAAATAAAAAATATTTTCACAGATGTCGTATGTGCTAACGTATGGATTTGGTTTTGTTTAGTTTAATGCTAGATTGTCGATACAAACCAGGAAGGAGAGTGCAAAGCTGTTGGAGTTTTATAAAAATGAAATTTTACAGTTTAAAATTAATCTGAAGACTCTGTCAAAAACTATGGTTGTCAAAATCGAAGATCACGGATCTTCATCTTTATCTTTATCTTTTTAGGCCAATCCGGAGAGGGTAAATTCTTTTAAGTATTATTTAATCTTTTTCAATCTTTTTTTTTTACTTCAAAAAATAAAGGAAAATAGATTTTCTTTGTTAAGGTTTATAGGGACTATGGAAGTTCTCTTGTTTAGTTTAAGGTTGTTACTTGATAATGAGTTTTGACTAGGATTTTTGGTTCATTCTTATAATGGTTAGATATAACTTCCATTAATCGAACCAAAAAGGGTAAAAAAATCTCTTTAAAACGATGAATCATAAAGGTAGGAGATATTAGCCAACTTATTTTATTTTTGAGAAGTAAAATTTACAAGAATTAACTAGAATCCCAACTCCCAATAGATTGATAAAATTAAAATTTATTGTGAAATAAAATTTCTATCATCTATGTAATACAACCTCGAACATATGAAAATAATTTTGATTATTGCACGAATCCTTGTATCTGTAAATTCTGAAAACGTATGGCCCGTTTGATGTAGAGTTTTAGAATAATTTTTGTGAAAACTAATTTTTTTTGGAGAATAACATGAAATGGAAAATGATAAAGGGAAATGTGGGCTTATTGTGTTTGTTTGGTGGTTCTCTTTAACACCTTTGGGCCTATGCTGTAACCCGGTTTGTGTGTTTTTTCCTTGAATCATTTGTGGCCCTTGATTCAACCTACGGTTGAGATTGAAGTGGGTGAGATATTTTCTTTATTTTAAAGTCTTTGGCTTCTTAGACACACAATCTCTCAACTTCCTTGGCACGATTCTGCTCCTGGTTCTCTCTGTCTGGTCCCGTTCCTCTTCTCCCCTTGACATTCACTGTTAGCCCATGGTTGAGAAACTCCGGTGTATTACCTAGGCGTGAAATAGAGCTAGGTTAGGGAGGTTTCTTGTGAGGCTTAGGTCAGTGATTAGGGCGAGTTTATTGGCTGTTTTGGGAAGATCACTTGATCGATGATCCTAGCCAAGTGTAGAGGCATTCTTTACCAGTTCTCACCTCTCTCTGGATGGCGGTTTGAGGGCGTGGAAAGGCTGTTCTTGAGCCTAGAGGATTCAGCCACTGAGGAAGGGAAGGTCAGCCACTAGGAAGGGAGAAAACACGGCAAAACAGGGAAGTAAAGCTTATGTCCGTTTTCACTTCTACATTTCAGTTTATGCTCTGTTTCAGTTGCCATAGTTTCTGTCTCTCGATTGATTTCTTTAATGCTATGCTTATACAAATGTTGATTTACATTCCAGTAATGTAGATGTTTCAGTTTATATGTCTAAGCATTTGTTAGATGACAATG